TTCATTTAGTTCTTTTTTTTTTTTTTTTGTCTTTTAATATTCTTTTCATTTTTTAGTCTTTTGACATTATTTTTGTTTTGTTCTTTTTAAGTGCTTCTTTTTAGTAGCCGTCTCATTTGTTCTGGATTTATTTGAATATCTGGTGTGTCGAATCATCTCATTGATCGTTAATTGCTGTTCTTGACAGTGTAATTGCCTCTAAACTGCCTCTTAATATAATTTACTTAATGTAATATTTTTGCTATGATATATGATGAACATCAGTAATCCATAAATACTTTACTGGCAATGTTCCTTGAGAGAAATTCAACAGTTTCTTCCTAACGTTTGAATCAATCTCACGTTGAAATAAAGATCCTCTTTGACTTGCAGATGTAAATACTGATATTGTTCAGCACTTTACACTATTCTGAGTTTTGTTATTCACTGTGAGTTTAACTGCTTGCATAAAGTATTTACAAAAGCTACAATAAAGTAAATACAATAACTCTGGTAAGTAATGACAACTAAATTATGACTTTGAATGGAAAAACGTTTAATAAAAAATAATGATTTTAATAATACGATTTAGTCTTCTTGTGATATTGTTATTGTCCCTAATGTTGTGTAAATCTACGATGATGTGTGTGTTTTGCAAATGATGCAATATGACACAAAAGGCATGGGTTGTAATGGTGATATCAGACCAAATATGTATAAGAGCAATATGCAAATTAGATTTATTTCTATATACAAAAGCAAGATTTGTATGAAACGAAACAAGGTACTGATGTAGGCATTAGATCTCCAGCTAAATAAAGTTGTCTGTTTTCCTCCAACAAGCACAGTTGAGATTTTTATAGATATAAACCAGCACAGTTGGTGTACATAAATACACCAACTGTATTTACAAAAATACATATAGAGTTATGAGAGCCTCGTTTCAGGGATTACCTTCTATAACATTTCACAATACAATAACAATGATAAAAATATATATATTTAATATAGTACAAACAACTATTAAATGTCACTGTGATGAATGTTGTTGACTAAGGATTTTAAATCAATGCAAATAAGTGATGCTATTTACCGTTATTCAGGGCTGTCCACGGACATCACTAACATAGCTCTAGATTTAATATTAAACTATACTTAAAGACATTTTGCACAGTGCTTTGGGTAAATTTTACAAAATTGGTTCATATTTTGTATCAATTTTTTGTTTATAACTTTAGTTTTTTTCTTTTTAGCATTTGTTGCTCTATAGCATTCAAAGAATATTTCCAACAAAGTTCTACTTTTCACAAGACAACCACGCTAAAAGACAAAAAAAATAAATAAATGTATTCGCTATGCGTGTGAAACAATTTATAATTATTATACACCAAAACAAAATTATGTTCCATACTATGAGAATTTTTGAAACGTGTGTATTCATTATGATCAAACAGAAGAATAATTCCCTCATTGTGAGAAAACCCATAATGCTTTCTGCCAGGTGAAAACATTCAACCAGCTCATTTCTTGATGTTCTCATGAGAACGACAGGTTACATAACCATTCAGCTTGGCTCTCCATCTGTTCAGGATGTTTGGCCACTCATTCTATCCGGAGGAGGCAGACCCAGCCCTAGTTTTGCTCTGTCCCATCCAAGCCTTGAGATGGTACGTGGACCGGACACAAAGCTTCACGACCTCAGATCAGCTCTTTGTCTGTTTCGGAGGCTGGCAGAAGGGGAATTCCATCTCTAAGCAGAGGATGGCCCACGGGATAGTGGATGTCATCACCCTGGCTTATCAGGCACAGGGTGTGCCCTGCCCATTCAGTCTGCGAGCTCACTCAACTAGAAGTGTTGCATCCTCCTGGGCGTTGGCTCGTGGCGCCTC